TGTGTGTGCCTGTCTGTGCGTGTGTGCATGTGTGCGTGCGTGTGGGGGGGGGCTGTCAGATATGTGGGTGATGGACAAGGCTCCAGGAGGAGCAGAGCTGATGGAGGAGCAGGAAACTGGCAGAGAGGCTGATTTCCTGCATCCAATCACCACCTAAGAAAGAACCTGCAGGATGCTGTTTTACAGAACAGAAGGCAGAAGATGTGGGATTCTAGAAGCCCTGTAAAAAGAGGGCAAGGGTAAAGATATCTCACTTCCTTAGCTGATTGTTCAGATTGAGTCAACAACCTACACAATCACACAGCATGGCTGGCAGGGGGGGGGGGGGGAATCAGCTATCGTGAACCAACCACCCAGCAGACACTGTTCTCAAGTCTGAAGATAAGGTGAGTCTTTGTTTACACTCCAGCACAAAATGTGTATGTCTGCGTGCTGGGGGAGCTGAGCTAAGGTGACAAATAAGGCAGCACAGGAGTCAGGGGAGATGGAGCAGACAATGTCTTAAAGAGAACGAGCTAGTGGTCTCTCTGAGCAGTGAGGGGAGATGAAGAGCACTGTCAGGAAAGGGCCCACTAAGGCAAAAAGTGAGAGCAATCCAGGCATTTTCAGGGAAGACCGAGGGTCAGATGTGACTAGAGCAGAGAGCAGGGAGGAGACTGGGAGAGGAGGTCAGAGCCACCTCTGTAGAGGACAGGGAGAGGGGCAATAGGCAGGAAAGTGGGATTGCCCGGGGCCCCACTGGTCATACAAAGGGCTGTTGAATGGGAGACAAGAAACCACTGTAGGATTCTGAGTTCTGAGGGCTCATGGTTAAAGACTCATGGAAACTCCACACATCTTTCCATCTCCTTTTAAAAATCTAAAGAGATGAGGTAGGGGATGTTTAGCTACCAAGGAGGAAAAAACCTCTAGCAACTGGGGATGGAAATGAGGAGGCTTTTTAAGGGGCAACCACACTAATCCCCTGGAGTATTTAAGTACTCCGTGTCTCAGCTGGAAAAGCAGAAGTAAGAATTCCTATGATTTTGCTTTTCTGTGCCCCACCCCCAAACGCCCTCATGTTGACTGAAGGCTTGGTCCCCAGTGTAGTGGAGTTCAGAGGTAAGCCTTTGGGTGGACACAGGATCTTGACACCTCTGACCTTGGGGATGCATTAGTCCATTCATAGATTCCCAGCTTAATTGTTTGTGTCACAAACACGAGCTTTTTCTATTTACTTCTTGACCACCACAGAGCGATCAGCTTCCCTCCCACAATAGCCTCTACCGGGACCCGCCACGGACCTAGGAGCAACTGGACCAAGAGACCCTTGACCAAAACCTCTAAAATCTTAGCGAAAAAATAAACCTTTCATCCTATATGTTAATTCCTCTTAGGTATTTTGTCACAGAGCTGAAAAAATAACAAGGACAGTTTCATTCAACAGATATAGTGTGAATATGAATGAATTTACATCACCTAGAAAAGACAATGGCTGACTGCCTTTCTGTCTTCCTTTCTTTTTCTCTCTTCCTTCCTTTCTTCCTTCCTTCCTTTCTTTCCTCCTTTCTTTCTTCCTTTCTTTCTGTTAACAGCAGCTTTTGTTATTTCACTGACAAGTTGTAATTGTGATGAATTTCCTACTAAAATTACAACACTTTTCTGCATTTCCACATCCAGTTATGTCAGCATCATTTGTTACAGATGCTTTTTCTTTTCCATTATAGAATTTTGACTTCCTTGTCAAAAATCAGGTGTTCATAGTGTGAGAGTTTTTTTTTCTGGAAATGTTCTGATGTCGGAGTGAACATGGACGTGGCAAGTGGAACAAAGGCAGAGTTGCAAGACCAGCGTGATAAAGCGACAAAGGGACAAGGAAGTGGGGGCCGCACCGGGAACGGATTATGATGATGGTGCAGCGTGAGACAGACTGGACAACAGCTTGGAAGGCATGGAGCATTCTTCACCTGGGCTAATGACTCTCTTAGAAACTGGTAGGGGAAAAAACGGAGATGGTAGGATAAGATCTCAAGTAAAAGTTATCATTTTCCTCTGGGAAATACTTTATGTCTATAGTAGGATTTAATTTGATAGGATGGGAGAAATAAATATGAGATTAAAGATGAGGTTAGCAATGAAAGGTAATAGGATCATTGTTTTGCTGTGGATACAGTTGGACTAAAGACTCTAATGAGAGTCCACTGGATAGAAAGAAGGCAGTGATCAGATACAAGGATGCTTCGAACTGAGACAGAGGAGCTGTGAAGTGATGACAAAGATGTAAAACTATGAAAGCAGGATACAATGAGGCCAAGTCACTGGGAAAAGGATCAAAGGAAGCAAGAGGCCCGGGCTTACGAGGCACAAGAGTCACTCGGGGCTGTGTGTGAAGGATGTACTGGAGAAGGAGTCAGTTTGTAGTGAAGACCTGTAATCCCCACACTCAGGAGACAGAGGCAGAAGGATGGAGAACTGAAGGTCAGCCTGGGCTCCATAGCAAGACTATGTAAAAGAAAGAACTAGAGGGAAGAGAAGAGGAAAGAAGGCAGAAAGAAGAGAAAGGGGAAGGGAAGGCTAGAGACCTTTTCTGATGGCAGAATATAAATACTAGACCAGAAGTTCTCAAAAAATGAGTCGTGACCTCCTTGGGGTTGCACATCAGATATTTACATTATGATTAATAACAGTAGCAAAGTACCATTATGAAGTAGCAATGAAAATAATGTATGGTTGAGGATCACAGCATTAGGAAGGTTGTGAACCACTGCTCTAGACAGTGCAGTATGTAGGTTTGGAAAGTTTGAGAGGATCAGAAACACCCAGAGGCTTATAAAAGAGAGAATCTATGGAGGGTAGGGTGGGGAGTCATAACAGTATTAAACACAGAGGTCTCCAAGCAGATGACAGTGGTGAGTGCTGAGGGGACAAGTATGGATGCAGCAACATCCCTGACACTATCACTTCCCAACTTTCTCACTAATTACCCAACTCTAATCAGAGTTCTAACTCCATCGCCCTTCTGAAATTGTTCCCTTTAAGGTCATGTCCCAAAACCAATGGTTCCTCCTTCGCCCTCACCTCCTTGCACTCCCAGCACACCCTAGACAAACAATGTCACCCTCCTTCTGCTTCTGCTCACCCCCTTTGCAGGCTGCCCCTCCAGTACTACCTTGCTAAAGACTAATGTCCCAGTCCTTGGGCCACTGATGTGTCTTCCCTGTTTCACCCCCCAATATACCTGACAGCAGTGCCCACTTCCACACCGGGTAGGTGTGGGGACTAGCTCTTGATATCCCTCCATTAGCAAAGGTGACCTTGGTAAAATACATGAAAGTTTTTTACATATTGCTGACCACAGTGAATCTAGTTTTACATTGAGTATATTGGGACATTAGGACACAAGACAGGGGGACAGGAGCAATGTTTATACTCCATAAATCTCCTTGAGTTTTTCAGAGTCATGTTATAAAGGTATGACTGAGATGCAGAATGAAATACTTCTCTTTGCTTCCTTGATTGAGGCAGGGTCTTAGTAGGGAACCCTGACTGATCTAGCACTTGTTGTATAGCTAGGCTCACCTAGAACTTGAAGCACATGCTTCAACTTCCTGATTATTGGGTATACATCATGATATTTGTGAATATGAACAAACCCAACTGTCATAACTCTCTACTTCTTCCTCCTGAGTTTCCAAGACTTACTCAGGTCACTGTGAGTCCTCAGTCTCTCAACCCTCACATTAGTTGACTAGCCAAGACAACTCAATAACCCATTGAGATAGGAAATACAATAGGAATGAAAGTCACCATGCCTTCTGGGTAAAAACCAGTAGTTCTAGAGCCAGCATAGCAGGGTGTAAGTTCCTCATCAGTACTGAACTGTAATAACAATGCAGTTATTATCAGGTTGCCTGAGATAGGCTCTTCCCTGTGCTTATTAGCTAGATATGGATGTAATTGTGCCTCCCTTGTAGTTTCAGGGAGGAATAAGTACATGCAATGTGTTTCCTGCACTTAAAGAGTTATGGGTTTTGAAGACCAACAGAACTGAGCGATGAGTAATGCAGTTCATTAAATGGTGGCTACACTCAGCTCCTGTATTTCAGGAGCTCATCACATATCAGGGCTAATGAATAGATGAACAAACTAATAAATATTAATATCCACATGAAACAGAGAGTATCCAATCTACACACACACACTCAAACACACACACACACACACACACACACACACACACTATCCATCTCACCTATGCAAGCCAAGCAGGTAAATTCAAACACGGACTCTGCCGTTGAAAACACCGGTTTCTAGTCACTTGACATTTAACACTTCTACCATCTCAGACAGCAAGAAAGACATAAAGACAATAGGACATGCGAACATGTGCAATAAACTGGCTTAAGGAGCAAATCGAAGTCCTTACGTGGGGTATAAAACTGAGACAACTGAAAATTACTTGGAATACTACCTTCCTTTAAGTCATGACTCCTGGAAAAAACAAAACTAAATTCTTCAGTAGCATGTCTCCAAGCCAACCTACATCAGAAAAGAAACCCTGTGTCCCACATGGAAAGAGAAGAAATGAAGACTTGGTTGTCCACACGGCTTGGTAATTCTCCCCCCCCCCCGCCCCGATTGGGAACAATATGATTGTCCAAGGATGGAGGCAGAAATGGCAGCTCGTTCCACTCCTGAAGGGAACATGACACTGGCAGTAGGGGTTGCCATCCATCCCCCATGGCTTGCAGCGATAGACCCGATTTCTTCTCTCTGGGAGCTTAAATGGGTTAGTTGGGCAGTGGAAGCCCAAGAATGCTTGACCCTTACTTGACAAACACAATGACATTCGGAGTAGCCTACAAGATGGGCAGTATGATCACTGGCTGACCACAGACACCCACCCTCATCAGGAGGGCCCTACTCCTAGGTGAGTGGATGCAGAGACAAATGCCTCTCCGGCTCCTCCCCAACCTCTGGGTCTACCCTGTCCCCAGTGCCCACCCACTTGCCATACTCACTCCCACTCCTTTCGTCGGGCCTGCGGGGTGCTCTGCATCTTGTGTGCCTCGTGGGCCTTGATGATGTCCCGCTGCTCGATGAGGCCCCCACGCCTCCGCTTCATGACCTCTGGGCTCACAGGAATGAAGGTGCTGGAGCCTGCATCCAGCGTGGCGCTGCCCTCCCAGCCCGGGCCCTCGCCCTCCTGCACTGGGAAAAAGTTGTCGAAGCCAGCCACCACAGAGCGTGGGGAGGCAGGCAGCATGCCCACCTCGTCGGAGGCATCTGCCTCTAGCAGGGCACACTGCTGTGGCCGCCATGCCTCCTCCTCGGGCAGGGCAAGGACGTGGCGACGCCGGCCAGCAGCCCCAGGCTCAGGGCTCCCTCCCACAGCCGGGCACAGGGCGGGCTCGGGCAGCCTTCGGCCTGGGCTCAGTCCTCGCATCTCGGGCACCATCACAGAACATTGCTCTGCCAGGAAAAGAGTGGGCAGAAACAAAGGGTGGGGAGGAGGAGGGGGAAAGGATCATGGGCACAGGGAAATAGAGAAGAGAAAGAGATTAATGATACCACTCTCCAAGGCTTGGGGCTACTTCACAGGCCTGGCCAATAAACTGGCACACAAGTAGAGTTTGGTAAAAGATGCTAAAAATCAGTAGTATTGACAGTAGACTAGTCTGGGTACCAGGTTCACTGGGTAGCAGAGTTTAAGCAAAGCAGACTTCATTCTTACCATAAGACTCAAAGCCAGGGCAGAAGATAGAGTTTACATGATTCTAGTTTTTCCCCCCACAGACCACCGGACTACCTCCCTATAAACCTGTTGTAAGGTTTGGGAGTCAAATAGCATTGAATGCCTAAGCTACTGAACACCAGGTCTGGCAGCACACTATGTTGTATAGAGCAACAGTTTTACCAAATGATTGTGGGGCTGGAAGCTGTGGCTAACTACCACTGCACAGAACCCTAAGAGAAACATACCAAGACCCAGGGAGCAGGTACAGATCCAGATGCTCCAATGACTCCCCAAAGCCAAAGTCTGCTCTTCCACACCAAGGAGGATACAGTCAGATTCACTTCAGGAAGATGCTTACCCTGTGCCAAACCCAGTGCCAGGTACCGCACATCCCAACATGAGTTTGGTATGGTCCATGTTATACCCATGAGGACACAGGAGGGACACTGATTCTTGTCACATAGGATCATGTGCTGTGACTGATGTAGGCCTGGTGTCTGTAGGTGCTCTGAGGAGGGCCACCTTATGCATCTGGGGTAGTCAAGAGAGCTGTGTGGAGGATCTGGGTATTGGAAAGGAGGTGGGGACCGGGAGGTTCATAGGTAAGAGGGATGAGCATATAGGCACAGAGGAGGACTCAAGGAATTCAGAGGATGTGGAAAAATATTTATTTCATAAGACTGAGGTCCTGATAGTCCTTTGGGCTTGAGCAAACCTCAGCTTTCTACCTCAAGACACTGCTGTCTACCTTTCAGCCAAGAGCCCAACTCCTGATCAGTCAACATCCTCCCCAAGCATATGCCCAGCCATATCCCTAGTAACCACAAGTGGTGTATACACATAGCCCTTTAGTCCTAGGAATTGCCATATGCTCTGTGTGCTCAAAGAGACCTTGGCATCCAGACCATTCAACTACTATGGAATGAGGCCCCACTACACACTGGGATCCCTGGGGGAAGCATCCTTCTAGAAAGCTGCACATATCTGCCTCCTAGCTATTTTCTACCTTCCCCAACAAGAACTGCAAGTTAGACAATAAACCAGAAAAGCAAAGAATGTGAATGGTTATGAATTTTAATGTTCATCTATACTGTTTTCTATCTGAGAAGGTTTGAGGTCCTAGGGGTAGAGAGACCCAACCAGGGTCACACCCTCCCAGGATCGCACTGCCCATATGTCAGAGCTGATCTGGGGATAGACTCGATTTCAAACCTGAGCTCCTTCATATTTTTCCACCATATTGATCATAATGCTTATGCTCTGTGAAGCAGAATCCAAAAATGCCGTACTCATTACCTCATCATTATATTAACATACCACTCATAAGGAAAAGCCCAGTGGACAGAACGACCTTAATACTTATAAGAGAAAACCTGATGTGAGCTTAAAACAGACCCACACTTCCCAAAAGAGCAGGCTCTGAAGCCTCTCTTCCTTCTCCATCATCTGGACTCATCTTTCCAGATGTGATACCAAGCCTTCTGGGAGCTGAGTTGAGCACTGGTCAGCACTACACATCTGGCCACCAAGGTTGAGTGGAGCCAATAGGGCAGGGGGAGGGCAGGCTGAGCTTATTGAGGAGAAGAAATGAAGGAGGAAATATTTTTCAAACCCTGCCAGCAGTTGGGTAGGTCCCTAGCAAGAGTGATTCATGCTCCTCATGTTGTCATGCTGTCTCAACTCCATTTGATGGGTTTTAAATTTATCCTTCATTCCTACAATGTTTAAATGTCTCTCCCCCACCAAGCACATGCATGCGCCCCTCCCAGACAGCTCCCACTCCCTCTCCAGGTTTTAGCACTTCCAGCAATCTCATGTATTCTTGGACTCTGGTCTGCAGTCTCCTCCCCCTCTCTGAGCCCATCGTAGCCAAAGCTCCCAGGCCACTAGCTCTCCCAAGGCAACCAGAAGCCAGGATCTGGCTCTGTGTGTCTGCTTCCCAGCCCATTGCCATCCTTCCTGGATTTCCCCTTCCCAGACACTTTGCCAATTTGAATCACATCTTTGCCAGAGTTATAACAGCAATAATATGCACTACAGAGCTCTGGCTTCAACAGAATCAATTTACAAATATCAAAACACGAAATTATCTCATCCTTCCTTTAAGAATTCCTGTTAAGCAACCCTTTTATTACTGATATAAATGAGCTTCAAGGGAGTCTGTCACCCTCACTGCTGCCAAGCTGGCCAGTGCCCTGGTCTTGCTATTGTCACACTCAGAATATCCTCCCTATCTAACAATTTGTAAGAGACAGTCTGTATCTTCTAGGGAAGGGTGTTTGACTCTATTCTAATCTTAGCCCTCCCCACTCCCAAATGCTGCCTTTCCTCCAATTCCTTTAGATGAAGAATTCCATCTTGTTTATCTGTTTATATCAATACCTAGCACTGAGTTCAACACAGATAGGTGCAGAGATGCCCATTGGAACTCTTTACCCAATATTCCGGTTATTGTTGACCCACAAGAAAACAACAGGAAGTACTTGTTAGCTTGTAGTGGTCAAATGACAGTTTGAATGAGAAATGGCCCTCACCATCTCAGGTATTTGAATATTTGGTCCCAGATTGATTGCTCTCTTTGGGAGGTTTAGAGGTGTAGCCTTGTTGAGGAAGTATGTCACTGGAGGTTGGTTTGAGAATTTAAAGATATGTATCATTTCAAATGCACCCTCTCTGTTGTGTGTATGTGGTTCAAGATGTAAACTCTTGTCCGACAGTGGTGGTGCATGCCTTTTATCCCAGCTCTCAGGAGGCAGAAGCAGGCAGATCCCTGGGGCCAACCTGGTCTACAGAGCAAAGTTCCAAGAAAACCAGGGGTACACAAAGAAACACTGTCTTGAAAAACAAACAAACAAAAAAGATGTAAACTCTTTACTTTTTCTTTTTTTTTAAAAAAAAAATAATGTCTTTTCTAGATAATATATTCTTGTTTCCCTTTCCCTACTCCTCCAAGTTCCTTCCCACATCATCTCCCATACAGTTTCACAAACAGGCATCTAAGGAATAATAATACAATAAGTTAAAACAAAAACACACAAACTGAAATAGGACCAAACAATCAAACAAGAAAAAGAGCTGAAGGAAAAAGAACAAGAAATACATGTAGACAGAGACACACATTTGTACACACAAGAATCATATAAAACATAAAACCTAAAGCTATAATATATGCACAAAGTACCTATAAGGTTAAAAATAAAGAAATAAAAAAAAAAAAAGCCCTGACTTAACATTGTAAGACAAAGAACCTCCAACAAAGCTGTTGAGTTCATTTTCTGTTGGCCATCTACTGCTTGACATAGGACCTACCGTTAAGAGCGGTTTGTATTCCTAGTGAGATCCCAGCTCCAGCTGCTATCTACTCAACCATGATGGATTCTTATCCTATGGAACCTTGGGCCCAAATATACTCTTTATTTCAAACATTGCTTTGGTTACGGTGTTTTATCACAGCAGCAGAAAAGTAACTTACATGAAAGTGATGTGTATCGCTTCAAAACTAGGCAGTTAAACGTCAATGCAGTCTTTCTAGAGCAGGAATTGGCAAAGCATTTGAGGCGTTGCAGGTCATGTAGTCTCTGATGCAACTACTTAAACTCTGCTGTTAAAGCACAAAAGCAACCTAGCAACATGTAAATTAATGAATGGGCATGACTGTGTTCTAATCAAACCATCCAAAGAGATGATCTAGTTGGCAAAGTGTCTGTGGGAGAAGGAGAACCTGACTTTGGATCCCCAGCACCTCAGTAAAAACCCAGACACAGTGTTCATACCAATAATCATAATGCCCACAGAGATGGCAGAGGGCCTGGGGCTTGCTGGCCAGCCAGTGCAGACAAATTGGTGAGATCTGAATTCAGCAAGTGACCCTGTCTCAAAATGGTAGAGGGGATGGAGTGATGGCTCAACAGTTAAGAATTCTTGCTTCTCTCGCAGACAACCAGGTTCAGTTCCCAGAAGCTCACAACTACCCATAATTCCAGTTCCAGGGGATCTGAAGCCCTTTTGGTCCTTTTCTCTGTGGGAAAACACACTTGAAGGAAACATACACATAACCAAAACTAAAAAATATTTCTAAAAAGAAAGGGTGGAAACCACACACACACAGAAAGAGAGAGAGAGTTCATAAAGTTTTGTATGCATTGGTAGTGCCACTGTCTCACTGTATCTTTTAGGCTCCATCGTTTTCATTTAATCTGAGCCCATAAATGGAATAAATGGAAAGTCAGGGAACAGAATCCACTGTGGGCAGAGCATGAGAAGCTAATTTGCCATATGCAGCCCTAAACTGAAAGAGGATAGACTGCTGCTCTGAGATCCTGGCTTGAGCGGGAGCTAATGACAGCTCTGAGGCCCCCTTTTGCTCACTTAAGCCTTGTTTTTCATTGTCCTTTCTTCTTATTCTTTCCTGCTCAATTTGGCTAAATGGAAGAGGTTTTGTTTTGTTTTGTTTTGTCTTTTTGTTTTGCTTTGTTTTGTTTAAGTAAGGCATCTCTAGGAGGAAGAATGGTTAGTGCAACCCAGAAGCTTCCGTAAGGATCTCCCCTGGCTAATGAGGCATGACATGGTAGTAGAATAGGGGTATTCTCCTCCCTACCCCATCCCCTACCTAAGCATCCTGTACCACAAAGACTTACTGATTATAATCCTGCTTGGCCTGACATCCCTCCCAAATAAATGTCAAAATCTTCATCTATGGAAGAATAGTATATCCTTTGTACCATTTCCCTTTTAT